TCAACTCCCAGAGTTCCTCAGCCAGCAAAGCTGGCTGAGGAACTCTGGGAGTTGAAGTCCACAAGTCTTAAAGTTACCAAGGTTGGAGACCCCTGATCTCGAAAGCAAGCATTGAATCTACAACCAGATTAAGGAAACCCACATACTCCTTGCGTAATTTGGTCTAGAAATGAAAATAGGAGGGCTTTTAATAGTGAGAAGAAATCATCAGGTTTACCTTGGAGAATATGGAATCGATTTGGGCTTCATCTGATTGAAGGCAAAAGTGAGCTTCTGGGCGGCCCGTTGCTGCTGGATTTCCTAGGCGGGATAAGAAATCCACTTTTGTAACACAACAAAAACTTCCAACTCTATTTAAATCTTTAACGGGCGTTTTCTGCACCACATAGTCATGGGACTTGTGTATAATATACACATCTGTGTGTGATGACACAACTTACCTCCGTTTGCCATTGTGAACTTGAAAGCAACTATAAGTGGCTTTGTTCATTTGGGGGAAAAATACTTCTAGAGCCATCATGTAAGGTTATAGGTATTCCTTGACTTACAACCATTTGTTTAGGGACCGTTCAAAGTTACAACGGCACTTAAGAAAAAGTGGAGAGCTGGTCAAAATACAGACGGTTGGCAACTGACTCGTATTTATGACGGTTGCAGAGTCCTGTGAGGAGGTCATGGGATCCCCTTTTGAGACTTTCTGATGAGCAAAGTCAACGGGAAAGCCAGATCCACTTAACAACAATGTCACTAAATTATCAACTGAAGGTGATTCACTTAACATTTCTCCTCTTAAAAAATGATTTTAGAGGAAAACACTTACATTCTTCTAGAATTTAGGATCATACATTAAATTCCAGTTAAGCTAATGGATTGTTCTTGTCTGTACACAAGGATCTAGTCAGCTAGTGGTCGGCACAACTGCAGTGATCCATTTAACAACTGTGACAAAAAAGGTCATAAAATGGGGCAAAATTCACTTTCACAACTGTCTCGCTTAGCAGTAGAGGTCCATTGTGGTCATAACCCGAGAACCATCTGTACAGCGAAAGCACTATCATGGATATAGGCTGACTCCACTAAAGCGTATACAATGTTTAGCAGAAGAGAACTGGGCACCTTAGGCAGGAAAGAAAACAGAAGGCCAAAAAACGAAGGAGGAGAAAAAAACAACAAAAAGGGAAGCGTAAGTGTTTGCGTTTGCCTCAGGGGCACTGTTAAGTATCTGCCCTTTCTGAGCAAAAGTGTCAACTCATAAAACATTTTTTGTCGTCTTTTTAGAGTTGCCAACAGAAAGGGGGGAGGGGGGATCAGTGCAGCAGCTTGTGCACTGAAACTGCATTCCATAAATGTTTTCAAAGATAGTAACTAGGTGACTGAAGTTTCTTATGCACAAAATTCTAACTGGAGAGCATGACTGATGACTCTTGGCTATGGATGTGTCCCACTGGAGAACATGAATTACGATACACCCAGGGGAGTGGGAGAAAACCAGGGTCAGGGGTGAGAATGAATGATGTGTCTCAGAGTCGGCTGCACCCAGGCAGTGCCGGACATGGTAACTGCCAATAAATCTTTTTGAAGTTTGGCTTGAGACTCATGATTTAAATGGGGGTAATTGCCGGAATCCTGACAAAAAGTACAACTTACTCTCAAACAAAGATGTAACACTGTGTCTTCTTTGTAAATGCTTGACCAGGTATTGACAACTTCGGGGAGAAACGATTTGATGATGTAAAAGTGACCTGATTTCAAAATATCGTACTCGGACCAGGTGCAGGCCACCTTGAGGGCTCGACGCAAACCTCCTCCCATCTCTTCCTTGCTTAAGAATTCGATTTTGGCACAGAGACCCAGCTGAGACCAGGAAGACATGCTGTTGTTCAGAATGTTGGGAGAGCTTTCCTCGAGGCGATACACAGTGACTGGTTCTCCTGTGATGTCACCAGAACAAAGTTAAAAATAGAGGTAAGGATTAGAGAATAGCAATAGCGTTTAAGACTTATGTACCGCTTCACAGTGCTTCACAGCCCTCTCTAAGCAGTTTAGAGAGTCACCATCTTGCTCCCAACAATCTCGATCCTCATTTTACCGACCTCTGAAGGATGGAAGGCTGAGGAAACCTTGTGCAGGTCAGGATCGAACTGCTGGCAGTGGCAGAGTCAGCCTGCAATCCTGCATTCTAACTACTGTAGCACCACAGAAGGAAGGGAGGGAGGGAGGGAGGGAAGGAGGGAGGAAGGAAGGAAGATAGCAATAGGTCTTACTTAAATACTGCTTCACAGTGCTTTCCAGCCCTCTCTAAGCGGTTTATGGAGTCAGCCTCTTGCCCCCAACAATCTGGGTCCTCATTTTACCCACCTTGGAAGGGTGGAAGGCTGAGTCTATCTTGAGGCTGGTGAGATTTGAACTGCAGGCATTAATGTATTATAATGTAATGACGTTTTATGTTAGTGACTAGCCTATCCAAGATGAGTCTTGCCTGAGAGAAACAAAATCTGATTCATCTTGACCAGATCAGTAATTACCAAATATAAATTAATGAACTCAACATTATATTATAATGTTTGCTTTTAGATCTTCCATCTCCTATCACTAGTTAGAATCAGAAAGAGTGCAAAAATGGAGGCAGGAAAGGAAGAAGCGTGGTGTTCATCTATCTTGTTCAAATATTATAGTAAAATACAATAAACAAAGTGTTTTCTTTGTCAAAAAATGATTATATAAAAAAGGAAAAATTCTGATGTTAGGCTACATTCTCTAAAAAGATAATCAATGATAGAATCTTTTTGGTATCTAGTGAAGACAAATTTGACTTACTCAAGTAAGTAAACATTGAACATTTTAGTTTGCTTAATCTTTTAATCTGCTGACATTCTATTTGCTCTTTTATATCATGGTTGCCTGATTTTAGAGTCTTATTTGTTTTCTTGCATGTTAAATGGTATATTATATAATTGTTGTATGCCTACCAGGTTTGACCTAATGAAAACTCTTATAGAAAAACTTGAAATGAATAAATGAAAATTCGTACCTCTTGGAGGCACCGGGGTGAATGGTATGCTTTGCGATAACCTCATCAAATTATTTCTCTCCACAGCTGTAGAGAAAGATAAGGAAATCTGTTGTAGATTAAGGATTATAGTGCTTTAATTTTTTATTTCATTTCAGGCGGTTAGGAGACTGACCTGAATAGTAGTAGGTGGTATCCATAATGGGCTTGAAAGGGGAAGCTATACCTAAAATAAATAAATAAGTAAATAAGGTCCTGCTGTCTTTTGCATACTTGATTCATGATTAAATTAATACATTTTTAGAAAGACAGTAATGCAAAAAATGAAGCTTTTCAAGTGAAGTTTCATCAAACTCTAAAACGTTATAAATGTAACACTCAAATTTACTACATAAAAACCCGTGATGTTCAAAACACTGAGGAGAATTTAAACCTCAGCGTAACCAAGACAAATTCATCTTGGCTTATCCTGGATGAGAACAAAAAGAAAATTTCTTTTTGAAGGGCTAAGGTACTAAAATGTCCACCAACGTTTCTCCTGAGACACTTTGCCTGCAGTTAAAGCTGAACGATATATTAAATTTAAGAAAGGTTATTTATAAAGAATGAAACCACAGTACTCTGTAAGCAGTAACTTACCATTCAGTGCATCTTCCTCAGAAGACCTACAAGTAACAGAGATATCATTAAACTTCAGTGATATTTTCATTTCTTGGATTTTAGGGCTCTCCTAGTGTATTGTTATTGTAAAGGAAAAGAAAATACCTCAGGAAAAGTATCCTAGAACAGGGAATGTCTGTATAGGAGTACTGCCAGGTAATATAGGCTATAAACCCAACCAGTCAATTAAGAATATAAGGCTTCAAATAAAACATAATTTATGGTTATAGCTACCTTCATGCCTCCTATTAACATAACCTGGCAAATGAAATATTATAATCAAAACTGTATTTTCTCATGCTTCCTCATTTGCACTCTTTTCTGTAGGAATTCTTATACATCAAATTAAGATGGCCTCAGCAATGGCAGTTACTGATCTCTGGAAGCAGAAACAATAATGCTCAGTGCAGGAAGTTTTAATGTTCAGTACAGGATGTTTAATGGGTTACTTACATTTCATTCCTGTAGGAAGTTCGACCTTGCAACCAATCCTGGAAAAGAAAACCAGAAACGAGTCCATGAAATATAGGTTAATTGCTGGGTTTAATGTCTGATACACAGGATCACACTAGAAATACAGTTATCATGTTCTCTGTTATATGATCTATCATATAACAGGTTTCTCTAATGCTGTTTTGCTGATCCATGAAAAATCATTTGAATTGCTCAGCGTGGCTGAATGAGCAGATCAATGGTAATGATTTCAGCTATATCCAATTGTCTATTTTTCCCTAAGTTCTTTCATAAGGAATAGAGAGATGATAAATAACAAATGCTAGACTTCTAGAGCTGTCCTGTGATTGCAGTTCACGCTTCTCTTAAAGCATGAGTTTAATACAAGGATAGTGCTGATGGATTCTCTCTGTAATGCTATTATCAACTTTCCATTGATATTCCAATGCTTAAGTTAAAATGTAAACAATAATCACCATACCAATGTGGTTTCTGAATATTCTACTCAATGACCTTTTTCAGTTTGCTCCTTCCTCGATAGCCAGAGAGGTACAAAAATTCATGGCACACTCTAAAGGCACTTTGAGATATCACAACTACACCATTTTGAACACCGTGTCAAGACAGCATGTATTTGGCAGGGAATACCGAAATTTGTCATGTATTACTTTCTGTCAATTACCAAAAAGTTTCACTTTTGGATTCTTGGGTTCTGCTCTTTTAGCTTTTATGAGAAATGCATAACAATTTGCATTATATTTTTACTCACTGTGAGCAAGGCTGCCTTGGAGTCCACCTGGTGATTCTCCTCAGTAGATGCTCTTCTGCTCTTATTGTGAGCTAAAATAAATGGACCTTACAATTAGGATTTGCAGTCAACTGAATGATTTTAATGGATTTATCATCTACCGTTGTCTGATAACATTTAAATAAATATTCAATTGATCCAAGTACACAACTCAGTATATAATCCTCGACGATGTTGTCTATGGTTTGCTAACTTATTGGGGCGGTACAGTATCTGAGAAAACAATTCTTCAGGTTTTTAAGAAGTCTATATTTGCAGTACTTTATAAAATACACCAAATGAAACTGAAAACGTTTGTGTTAATACTTACTTTGCTCTGATCGCGCAGCTCTACAATATTCACTGAAGCCTTCACACGAACTAACGTGCCTTAGAGGACCTTCTGTATTACTGCTGACCTGTGCATTAAGTAGAAAACAATGCTAGCGATCATCACTATTCTACTAAAATCAGTGGTGCACCTTTTTGTACGTGCTATTCTTTAATAGCAATTAAGCAGATTCTCCCAACCTGCAACAATTCCTATCGTTCTCCACCCATATTCTTAGAAATGAAATATGAGTAATGCCACCTCAAACCTGATGCAGAAATGAACAGCTGGAATATTTTACCTTATCTTTTGCTTTCTCCATGGCCTCCAGAATAGCTTTTTTGAAGTCTTCCTGTTGCTCCTATTAAAGGGAAGGACGAAGGCATTTAAAGTTAGTTCTGATGTGGCTTTAACCTTTGAGGGTTTTTTTTTTAAGTTGTGTGTGCATTTAAAATCCAGAGATTTAAAAAAAAAAAAACCTAACCAGAGCAGTAGTTTCAAGCATCAGACTAGAACCCAGGAGACTGGCAGTTCTAGTCATGCTTTCTGCACAAAGCCCACTGGTCAGCCACATTTTCAACAGCCCCAGGAAGCAGGCAATGGCAAACACTTATGAAAATCTTGTCAAGAAAACTACAGGAATTTGTCCAGGCACTTGCAAGGATCAAGAGTGACTTAAAAGCAAACACAAACACACACAGAGGATCCTGTTTTCTGAAACCACAATTCAGTTGGTGCTTCAAAAGTGGCATTTGCACATCTGATTCTTCCAGGATAAGTCTCTCCTTGCATCTAAATTCTGTATCAAAAGTCTACTGTTCAACTGCTCCCATATGTCCCACTTACCTCAATGCTATCACTTTTTTCTTTACTCATTATCCTCTGCAATTCCATGCTGTCCCTGTGACCTGTGGCAGCAGCGTTACCATGCAAAAACAAGAATGATTACAGATTTAGGTACAACTGTCATTATTCACATACTGTTGGAATCTGAAAATACACAAACATCTTGTTCTCTCTCTCTCTCTCTCTTGTTGTTGTGGGGAAAATAGAAGGCAAGAGGTATGTTTGCACCTTGAATTTATACATAAAAAGGGAGGATAAAATAATAATCACCATCACTACCACCATGCTATTGTCATCATAATGATGACCTAAAAAAACCACTCGGCCAGGGGAAAAAATAACATTCCACTTTGCTGTATTCAAAAATAACTTCTCATCTTGTTTTCTAGGGGTACATAATATGGATGCCAACATTTTTACTAAGGGCTGTTCAGCAGAAAATATAAAACTCCCACAATAAAATATTGTTCGACATGCAAGTGTGTTCTTCTTTCTCTCACGCTACAGACACATGCAGACTTTAGAAGTACTAAAATATTCATATCCTAACTTTTATGTAAGGAAGAATGATGGCTTGCCCTCTCCACAGTATACACTGGATTTCTCATGTACAAAAATGCAAACCATATATTGTGCAATACAGGGTAAGACATACAGCCTGGCCTCTCTGCAAAAATGGAATTCATGGAAAAATGGGAGCTACCATGAGGGGCTTTTACTATGTGTACATTTTAAAGGTATCAGCACAACTTTTAAGTCATGGCTGTCCAACCTTTTGGGTTGCTTGGGCCAAACTGGGTGAAGAGGAATTGTTTGGGGCCTCATATATAATTTTATAATTTAAAATCACATGATAATGTTTATAATTGTGTGGGGTTTATTACTAGCTGTCTAGGGCTCCATGAGGGCCATAGGTGGGATACACCTGATTTAAGTTAACCTTCCCCAACTGATACTCTTACAATGGCAGTTTATCGGAACTGAAATCCAATATAAATAAGTTTCAGAAGGGTCCAGAAACCCCTTGGATAATGACATTTAAATTAAATGTGACTAGGTTATATTATCAGTTCTTTTTACAACACAAGACAAACCATTACAGCTACAACGAGCCATTCAAACGACTTACAAGGAAAACAAATTCTCTATTATCTAAACTCCATACATTTTGTTAGTGCACCTCTTTCCCAATATCTAAACAAACACCATTCTGCCACTGTTTTGGTTTGGTTTTTTTCAGTTAAAAGAAGATGCAAGTAAGTAACACAATTTAAAGGGATTTTTTTTTTGCTATTAAGAAAAAATAGAATACTAAATTTTGATTTACATAGGGAATTTGTTGTAGTAGCCAGTTTCTCAAAGGTGAACAAAACAGTGGTAGGTTATAGACATAATGACAGAAGTTAACAAAGCCCGTTACACAAGCAGAAATTCGTACGAGGAATTTTACATCTTTTCATGGAACAGACAATATTTTTGTATCGGTATCTTGATATTTTATATCAAGATAGAAATATAACATTTGACAGAGCAACATTCTTCTAATTTAAGCTCTGATTTGTAGTTGACAGACACAACAACCATTATGTCTGAAAAATATTGCCCACAAAGAAAGAACCATTTGGAGAACTTGAGGAAACCAAGATATTAAAAACAGAGTGCACCCAAAGTACCACAAAATTCATAAAGGCACCACACAATTCTTGATAAACCAAACCTTGCAGCTTAGATTTGATCCACAGTTTCTGATGTTGTACAGTGACACCGGAACTTAAACTGGAGGTCTTGGTTGACATTTCTGGAAAGCTTCTGTTCTGCCTTTCAACTTCCCGTCTCTTTTTCAACCCACTACAAGGAACGCTTCTGGTTTCCTTAGCAATAGTCAACTGAAATTTACTTCGGGCAACAGTCTTCGCAAAACTAGAAGAGGTCTGGCCATTCCCTTGGTCTGAAAGGTTTTTCGTAGCAGCAGCAGCAGCAGCAGCAGCAGCAGCAGCATTTTCCTCCTCAATCAATCCAGACTTGACATAACCTCCACCATTTTGGGAGATGGAAGCAAGACCAGTGAAGCCCAAAGCTGGAACTTTGCAGCCACCCCCAGCAATAGCCGGACGCCCACTTTTCAGCTGGTGATACTTACCCACAAATGCACCAAACTCAACGGCGTTTTCTCCTTCAGCAGCCTTTGGGACCAGAATGTCCTCCTCTTTTGAGGTGCTTTCCGACTGGTTTTTACAAATGGGTTGAGAAGGAGTGCTCACAAAAAACTTAGCGGACAAAGACGTTAGATAGGGGAGGCTGTTTAGAGAACTGCCACCCTTCTTAACTTTATTACTGTATTTGGAGACTTGTATACCCTGTACTCTTTGACGAAGTTCTGTGGGAGAAAGAGCTTTCGGAAGTAAGGCACCCCCTGAGGAACCCGCCTCGGGAAAATTGAATTCGTCCCCCTTGGTGAAACCAGTCATCTTATGTCCTGGATCTTTTTCTTCTTGCATAGATATGTTGCACAGCGCTGCGTTATTAGTTTCAAGGCCTCCTTGGGGGAAAGAAGAACCGAACGCGTTGCCGATACTGTGCTTCCTCCACATGGAAGATCTTAAGGGAACATCATCGATGAGGTTCTGGGCCAAATGTTTGGAAATACTCAGTTCCCGGGTGATTTCATTGTGGACCTTGCTTGCTTCTGAGGCTTTCTGGGCGGTGAGAGTTTTCAACGTGTCCACGGTGAGAGCAGAGAGGTCTTGCAAGTGGCCAATTTGCGTGTCCAGAGACTGCAAGGAACGTTTGATGTAGTTGACTCTGTCGCCAACCTCCTTGATTTGGATGCACATCTGCTCGACACTGGAGAAAAATAATCAGAGAAAGAGAGAGAAGATCTAAGGCATGTTGTTCTGACTCAGCTCCCCAAACACGACAAACCCTCTGGAATCCATCAGCCTGGGCAAAAAGTCACTCCCTCACCGCAGGCTAATAAGTCCATCCGGTCGGAAGATGAATAGCTGTCTGCCACATCTGTTCATCTCCACCCCCTGCCTTTTATCCCCAGAGCTTGAGAGGGGCTTCACTAGCAGTGGTGGAGCTTCCGTCCCAAAGATCAGCCCATGGATTTCCACTGCTCTCCTCTCCTCTGCCTCCCGTTCATTCGCGCGTCAGGCACTGGACCCAGCTGTTCCTCCTCTTCCTCATCAGCCTCCTCCAGACCTGGGGGCTGTTGACTCTCCATCTGAGGGCTGACGGGTGGCCCAGACTCCGCATCTGTCTCTCCCTCTCTCTGCCAGCTCCATCCCCCCTTCCCCCTTGGAGCTCCCAAGTTGCCTTGATGCTGACCCTGACTCCCACGCCGCCTCCTCCTCCTCCTCCTCTGATTCAGCTGCTGGAGGGACTGGCAGCCAACAGGCCACAACACATGTTTTGATAAGATGCTAGACATCTAACAAGTTGTAAACTAAAGGACTTTAATTCTGCCATAAAAGAAAAGATGGGTGAGTGTAAAGCCATTTTCCATGGAGATGTCATGGAACATTTCTACTTGAACCATTACTCTGGACTTATCTCCTTCTCAATTAATACCATCCAAAGATGGTTTTCCTATTGCATTGTGTACAAATGGCCCAGAATATCAGATTTCCATTCTGGGGTGTTTTTCAAAGCCAAAGGTAAGCACAGAATGTTTTTTTAAAAAAATGGAGAAAGCTTCTCTTACGATGAACAATGCTTATACTTCTACTTAAAAAAAAAAAAAAGAATTTTGTGGTTGAATTATTTGCCTACCGTTCAGAGGTGACTCTAATTCTTTCTTCGCTCCGACAGTGGAATTTATTATCTTTTTCACTGAAATACATCTCAACACACAACTCTTCAAAATCGTGAAGCTTCTTCTGATCTTCTTCTGTTAGAAACAGTTCTACAGAACAGAAAAGATAGTCGATTTTAGAAGTTCTACAAATAGTCTGTCATACTAAAAAAAAAAAAAAAAAAGACAAGGCAAAATGCAGAGATCAGTGCAAGAGAAACAATAACATTCCTCTAGTGTAGACCCTTAAAAATCTACACTCTACTACACATAAGTACAGGTATGTATAACCTATCTATAGCCTATAGATTTCAAGATGAGATGAATGAAGACCCAGATTGTTGGGGGCAATAGGCTGACTCTGTAAACCGCTTAGAGAGGACTGTAAAGCACTGTGAAGCGGTACATAAGTCTAAGTGCTAAAACACTTGAAACACTTACTCTTACAATTCCCATTCAAACAACTTTTAAAGATACCCAGAGACATTTTTGAAAGGTAAGAAGAAGAAAAAGACACTATATATTCAGCTGGTGCTTACTTGGCCCATCTGAATTTTTATCTTTCTTTCTTCGTTTGCAAATGCAGTAGCACAAAGAAGCCATGTGGCTGAGAATAATGAGAGGGGGAGGTAGAATGGGTTTCTCATGATAGGCCATAACGAAATGATAACGCTGATACTTCCACACAAGGTTAGAGATAGCTTTCACTTGTAAATACACATTGCTAAAAAGAAGAAGAAAAACAGGTAAGTGTTTCAGTACAGAAATATCCTACAAACCAGTTTTGCCCATATGATACTGGAAAGAGATCCCTCAAAATCCGTATTTACAAGAACTCTACTATGGTTTGTTAGCAGAGATGGTAAAATTTACTGTTTCAATTCATCTAGTTTTTTTTTTTCTATCTAGAAATCGCTTCTAGACTTTGCGTTTGAGACAAAAAAAAATATGAAATGTTGACTTAGGGATTTGCTGATTAGATTAGATAGCTGTATTTATAAATACGTAAAAATAAAAAATTGAGGCTGCAATTTTACGTTGCATTTTACTAATATAAAAAAGTTTGAAGTCAATGTGTTATTTTTCCTTCCCCCCCACTTATTTTTTTTCCTTTCACATTTCCCTATTACCTTTATTTTCATTTATGTTACTATAAACTTACTTTTAAAAAAACCTACTACTAACGATTCTACAATCACTAAGGTGATTTCTAAAGTTCAGTTTCACAATAAAATGGTCATGTGAAGTTCATACATACTTGAAAAAGGCGATGAGAAGGTTGACCATGATGATGTACTGCACAAAAAGGTATACTGACTGAAGAAACGGTGTTAGCCATGATCCTGTCACACAGAGGTGCTTAGTTTCCGAATTATTTGCACATACTATGCAGATTAAAAAGGATAAAAAACATAAATAACAACAGGCAGATACAAAGGTGACCCAAAACTTATGACCACATCGATATGTTTTTAAAATCAAAAACTCTTGAAATATTTCATTTGAACATAACCTTTGTTGATTATGTAAAGGTTTGTAAAATCTCTTAAAACCTAATGATCAAACATCAGATCAATGCTCGGTTTTTGTTATAAATCAGGGAGGTCACACTCAAGGCCCAAGATCTGGCTCATAGGGTGCTTAAATCTGGCCCACAGGGCCAGCCTGGACATAGCAAAGCCCCCCTTATCTTTTCGGCCTGAACGGCCTGCTGCAGCACTTTGCTGGCCAAAACAGGGCACAGGGGGGCCCACACAGCCCCCGGTGCCCCATTTTGGCTGGCAGGGTGCTGCAGGAGGCGCCTGTCCATCTCCTCCCTGCCCCGGCCCACTGAGAACTCAAATGCTGATCCGACCCTCGAAGAAATCCAGTTTGACACCCCTGTTATAAATGAACGAATGAAATCGTGATTACCTACCGTCAATTTCATAGGCATACACTTCACCAAATATCATCCAGTAAGGCTGAAATACAATATCTTTTGCTAGAACCCAGGACGGTTCTTCATTAGGATAAAGTATTGCTTTCCTAGGTACTCCAAAACTGAGCAGGACCAGGGCCATGATCACTACAATATAAAACATGTTCGCCACCTGTTAAAACAGAGCAAGAGACGAGGAAATTGAAAGCATTAGTAGCAGCCATGTCCAACATGAGAATGTTCAAGATATGGATTTCAGTCTGGTATAGATAGTCCTTGACTTGGGGAGTGGTGTGGTGGCTTAGAGGTGGAGCTCTTGCCTCACAATCAGGATGCTGTGAGTTTGATCCTAGGAAGAGGCAGATATTTTTCTCTCTGGGCACACTGAGAATACATCTGCTGAACAAAACTCTGCACTGGTGACAGGAAAGGTATCCGGCCATTAAAACACTCTGCTAAACCCATTCAGTTGCCTAGACTTCACCCCACAAGGAATTACGGGGTCATTAAAAGATGATGATGGTAGGTAGTCCTTGACTTATAGCTCGTTCAGGTAGTCCTTGACGTATAGCTCATATAGTTAATCCAAGCGTCTGTATTTTGATCACGTGACCACGGGGATGCTGCAAGTGTGGAAAACGGTCATTATGTCACTTTTTTCAGTGGTGTTGTAACTTTGAACAGTCACTAAAAGAACTGTTGTAAGTCGAGGACTACATGTATATAAACCAGAGAGGAATGGAATGGAATCCTGATCCTCTTAGGGCCACTCAACGCTCTGGATATCTCCTCAAAGTTGTCACCAAACTGAAGCTGATGTTACATTTTCAAGATGAAAATGATTACAATTAATGGGAAATACGTGGACTAAATCTTGGAAGCAGCTGTCCTGGTTTCATCTGTTATTTCCGCATATCAATTCTGATACATGATTACCCTTCTATGTATAGACCCATGATTTCAAGGCAGAAAACCAGAGTATGTCACCTGTGTGGACTATATCTATATATATATGTAATGTCTGAGGAAATCACACATGTGCAGCAAACACAATATAAGGGATGGGAAAGCATTAAATGCGACCATTCAAGTTCATAGATGTTTCCATTCCACATCATGCTGCATATACGATCAAGCACACCCATATTTGTGTATATATCCACAGTAATATTCATAACACTCCTCCGGTGCAGAGAATGAGCTGCTGAAGGTCTATCTATCTTTATTTATTGAAAGTAAAAATTCAAGGAACAAACCAGAATTTTTTTTTTTAATCTTACCATTTTCCCAATCATCATGACATAGGGTCCAGCATGTTGATTTACAGCCAGAAAATCCAACAGTCTGACATACCAAAAGATGATATTCAGGCAGTAAGTGAGTCTTCCAGCAACGAAAACGTAATTTACTTTGTAAGTATTTTCATGGAAGTTCCCTTTTGCTCCAAATCTTAGTACAAAACCAATGAAGAAAGTGATAATGGCTATTGTATCACTGATGTTGAAGTAATCATTGAACCACACTTTAACCTTCTGACTAATCTTCCCAGCTTCTGACATAAAGATCTGTATTAAAAATAACAAGAAATCGAGTATGGTCAATTTTGGTTCATATCAGGGTCATTAACGGCCTGCTTAGATGGCCGTTACACGTGAACTACAGCAATCTTTGTTGAAGGTCAGAAAACAGAGACCAAAAATCATGGTAGTAGCTTTACAAACCAGGGTTATAAGGCAGTGGTTTCCAGTGGGCCCCTTTTTTATAGCAATAGCTTTTAGACTTGTGTGCTGCCCAATAATGTTTTACAGCAGTCTCTGGGAGCATATTGGCCCCAACAATTTGGATCCCCATTTTACCAACCTCTGAAGGATGGAAGGTTGAGCTCCATTAGGATGGAAGTCCAGGCAGTGGGCATTCTAACCACTGCGCCACCACGGCTGACTATATATTCAAGGCAATGAACATACCTAGTACTTCTGCCTCCTACTTTCCCCACAAAACCTGTAAGAAGGGCTGGGTTAAGAGAAAGGGACTATCCAAAGTCACTTAGGTGGGTTTCATGCCTAAGGGAGGACTAGAATTTCATCATTTCCTAGTTTTTAGGGCAGCACCTTAACCACAATACCAAAATGCCCCCCCAGGGAGCTTAGGATATTTCAAGAGGGCCATGGGAGAAAAACAAGGCCGGAAGCGAGTCAGAAGTTAAAAATGATCAAGAAATACTGTTCAAAGGCACATGTATTTGTATTTGCTCTGGTTAAGTTGGCACACATGTAAGACAAAGTTGTGGCATGATATTTAAAGAACCTGAAGGAGATGTGAGAAGTACAAGCATCTCTACTAGGCTCTAGATTGCATAAACATAGTCTTAAGGAGAACAGCTAGGACAGTTTTCCCTAACTGGGTATTTTGCAAATAGGATGGGCTACGAGTTCTAGCTTTACTAAAACCAGGCCATGTTGGAGCCAATTAATAAATAGCACAAGATAGATGTCGAACATTGTCTAAATAAAACTAAACGAATAATAAAATCTGCTCCACTGATGCTAACACTGAACACTGGCTACAGGAGTAAGATACATTATTTGCATTTTAAGATCTGGCCAGTTGGTCAGGCAAACCTTACAATATAAAGGGGCAAAAAAAAAAAAAAAAAACAAGATTATACCGGCCCCATGCGCTTGGTAATTTCTGGACCTCTAAGATATTTGGAACTTCTGTATCCAAACTTTGTGCATATAAACAATATGTCTGCTAAATCACAGAGATGCTCTCCAAATTGTATGAAGAGAATCTTGAAAAAAAAAAAGGTTTAAAAAGCACTTAGTATTTTTAGCTACACATACTCTATGCAAACACTATACACAGGGCCGGACTGACTGCCCCACTTTAAACAATTTATGCTGGACTGGCAGAGTACAACTTGCGCATACCCTCTTTGTACAACAAATTCAGTCCCCTGATTTTTCAATGAAGCATTTAAAACCCTCTTCGGTGGAACAATGTTAAGACAGACATACCTCACGGATTTTCTCAACCGCCAGTGTGAAAATGTAAGCAATGACAATCCATTCCTGAACCGAAGGCAATTCTTCCATTTTCACAAGAACCACAAAGGTATAAAGCATTAGGAATCCTATGTAGGCCAACTAACAAAAACAAGCCAAGTGTTAGATATCCATCTGGATAGGTTAAATAAAAAAAAAAAAGGATTCCCGGGGGAGGAAAAGGTAATTCTTAAAAAACCAACTCACCGTGTTGAACCAGAATTTCACTATTGGTGCGTGATAAAAAGAGTAAAACTTCCGTGTAATGGGAAGCCGCTTAGGTTTTATTATGCTCTCCATATCAGGTTTTCCGTCAGAATGATCCAAGACCCTGACTTCTTTGAACACTTCCTAAGATTAAAAGCAACATGGTTAAAGGACCTACATTTGGAAAGGGCTGTATTTTTTGTTATTAAGAGTACCTGATTGGATCCAGACATAATAATCAAAGTCAGGGATAGAGTGGCAATACAATTCACTCGTGCAACGAAGATCCCAATTCCAGCTCTCATGCTTTATAAACAGGACTGAAGAAACATCTGTGGAAGCTCCTGAGAGCTGCTTTCTTCAGGATCAGCAATACTAAGCTAAACAAACCAATGATCAATCCTGGTCTATAGTTCCTAGAAGCATGGTGGCTTGAGTAGTTGGAACACTGGGCAGGATGCTAGCAAGCCGTATTTGAGACCTGAGGGCTGCAGTGGGGTGGGGTTGAGCTCTTGTCCATCACTCCCGTTTCTTTTTTGGGATATGTAAAGAGCCCCCAACTGACATCTAACCCTTTCAAACCGGTAGGGCCTTGGGTGCTTCTGACACGAGTGCACAAAAAGCTAGTGTCTAATTTGTTTCACTGACTTTAACAGGGGCAAGAATAACTGAGTCCACTGAATGGATGTGAAGACTTACCATTGGTATTTCTTCTGCTATGTTCTGAAAATTGTTTTCACTGTCTTCCATTGTCATCTGATGTGCATCTTGGGACTGAGGAATGTGAGACATTTCGGCCTTGGTTTTGTATTCCAGCATTAATATAGTAGGGGGAAGAAGGATGCTCAGGATCACCTGTGAAATGTAACATCGAACGATTTAAAGAATTATTTCCATGCAAGAGAACTTAGAAACAAAGCAAAAGAAAGTTTTTTTTTTTAAAAAAAAACACCACCCAGCACACAGAGTCCTGCTTTCTCTCCCCACCCTTATTCCAGCAAAATCTGTCAGGTAGCAAGTAAAAGATGTAGAAGAATTGAGGAGCTTATAATACACCCGGGCAATTTCATAATACTCCTGAAGGGGAAGAGGAAAACTAACCATGTCTAAATTATTATCCAACTAAATGAGTTTGCACAAATTTCCATCCTTCGTCGTATTTCCTCCCCTCACACACAATGCTGCATTCTGATTTCTACAGCCAAGTTTTAACAGACTCAATCTTTGCAAAGCTTCTTTTCCTTATCGTTTAAGAAATGAAGCACGGCCACTTCGGATGATTCTTTGATGAGGAGCAAAGCAAGCGAAGGGTCACAAACCAAACCCAAGACAAGACTAATCACGCATCCTGTTTTAAAAGGAGGCTTCTGGAGTTTTCTGTCAAAGTACTGAAAGTTTTTTGTTTGAAACAGACCTGTCTTATTTCATTCAAACACAGTGGGGTAAATTTTCAGCCTGGTAATCTGGAGAGAAATGGAGGCTCCTGGTGTTAATCTAGTCTATATGGCTTACTTGTCTTATACCATTCTGAAAACTTACCCCATTTGCACCCTGAGGCTTTGTCTGAACTCTGAGGAAGCTATCACTTGCTCAGCTCATGCTACTAAAATGGAGCATACATATGAAGACTTTCTACATCGCATTTTACTTTACTACCTGTAGGAAGCTTAATTACAGTTGTATACGGGAGGGGCGGTTTGAGTCTGTTAATGGGTCACCACTAAGGTTTTAGTAGTAGGTTAGTTCTCAGGATGAACTAGAGATCCATCTCTATTCAAGGGCTACTTGCCTGGATTCGGCCTTCTATAGGTCTGTACCTTTTTCAAAAAAGATAATAAAGCATCAAAAGAAAAATTACTGTGCATTCCAACACCACCTCTAGCTTTGATTTTTACACATCCCTAAATACAGATGACACTGACAGAGCCTATAGAACTACATGCTTGAAGTTGTTTCCTATTTTTGGATAACACAATTGCAATACTCAAGGCATCTGCTGAAAACAAACCCCAAAAGGAAGCGTACCTTGTACCACGAATTTTTCCTCATGTTCAGCCTTCCCATCCACATATCCGATAGTAACATCTGGGTGCAAGTGTGTGCTACAAAAGGACGGAGGCGTGAAGACACGGCTAGTTTAAGGCAGGTGGCATTACTCCAGTTTTTTAGCTCATAGGTTAGTAACTTCATTGCCATTGTTTCATCTTGCCGAAAGGACTGCTCTAATAACTCAACGGCCAGCTCTCCAAACTCACTGAAGAGGGGAGGAAAAAAAATACATTTAATAGCAATAGCAATAACACTTAGACTTATATACTGCTTTATAGTGTTTTACTCTAAGCAGTATACAGAGGCAGCCTATTGCCTCAACAATCTGGGTCCTCTTTTTACCCACCTCAGAGAGATGGAAGGCTGAGTCAACCTTGAGCCTGGTGAGATTCGAACTGCCAAACTGCAGGCAACCAGCAGTCAGCAGAAATAGCCTTGTAGTATGATGCATATGAACAACAAGTACACAAACACATTCGCCAATAACTAATGTGACTTGCCTAGACTGACAAAATGCACCTATTTATTTTTTTTCTAAGAAAAGTTTTTACTTTAGCTCAAGTCCAATTATTTTTCTTCCCAAGAGGAGCTAGTATCTGATTCAAGGAAATGCTTCATTTATTCACAATGTTCTTGGAACTATTGCTGAATTTCCGAAACAATATCTCACCAAATCCAATTAGAGGAACTAACACAAATGATTTACTGGCCATTTTTGAAGAAAATAAAAGGAAAGAGCACAGTAGTTAGAGTGCAGTGCTGCAGGCTACTTCTGCTGACTGCCGGCTACCTGCAATTTGGCAGTTCAAATCTCACCAGGCTCAAGGCTGACTGGGCCTTCCATCCTTCCAAGATCAGTAAAACGAAGACCCAGATTGTTGGGGACAATAGGCTGACTCTGTAAATTAATTAGAAAGGGCTGTAAAACGACTGTGAAGCGGTATATAAGCCTAAGTGCTATTGCTAAGTGCTATTACAATGAAACAGACAATTGATTCTAACTGTGGGACTCTTGTTCTTTTACAAAGTGTAATTTTGTCAAACAACAGATTTATGAGAAACGTAAGAAGCGGAAATGCTCACTTGGAGTATTCTTTTAGTTCTTCTGAGGTATCATCGACCAGGTCGTTTTGTTTTGATTCATAGGCCATGGAACGGTAAAGCTTGCAGGCCACTAAGGCTTTTGCCATGGACTCTTCGCCATGCTGCCAGAAAAAGAGCGCCATTTTTTGCCTCTTCATTAGCACCGCCCAAAGTAACAGCTCATTAAGAGGGTATGGAAAGCGCCTGGTTTCCGGATCATCAATATCGACAATGTCATCTTTGGTTTTTTTCTTTTTCCCTTCATCTGTGGCAGTATCAGCCTTTCAAAAAGGGGGAAAAAACACACAAGAACCTGTAATGGAATACCTCATAATTTATTTATTTAAAAAATGCAAAAAAACAGTTTGCATTCTACAGCAAACCTTCAACAGTATCCAGCACATCTTTGAATGAGAAGCAAGTAACAATAGCAGACAATTAGCATGGCTTCTGGAATTATTTCCAGTCCCTTAAGAGTAGCTAGTATCTAAGATTGTGGGATGGCCAGAAACAGGAACGCTGGGCAACGTTCCCAGTCATCTTTCCTGTCAAATAATGCAGTGAGGAAAATTTGGGGGGAATAATATGGCTATTTTTTTAACCTGATCTTCCTTTTACTAGTCCCCATGCATCTATACAAATAATCATAGTTGGAATGCAGCAAAAACATCTGCAAAAACATTTGATCCCTATTTCAGTATAGCTTCCTAATCTAAGCCTACAGAATCTCGATTAAAAGGTAACTTTATGTAGCACACGTAGGCCACATAAAGGGATATTAACTTTTGTGATGTGGACTTGTCCTGCTTTAATTTGATATCTGCAAAACGTTAAATGATTCAAAGATCGTTATAATTTTGGGGTGTGGGTATATATACCCTGAATCTGAAATTTATTACTATGAAATCGTATGGATTTCTTTAGTACTGAAGTATACCACTCCTCAGTGTCAAAAAGACAGAACCTCCCCAGATTTACAATCTTGGATTAGAGATATTTTGTTTACATTCTGTTTATGAGCCTTTTCCCAACACAGAGTAATGGAAAAATGGGTGAATAATAATTTGTGTTATCAACGTTTAGTAATTTGTTTAAAAACAAGGTAAGTTTTTGTGTGTTTTCCTTTACTCTTTTTAATACATTGAAACAAAAAAATAAAATAAAACAGTTGACGAGAAGTACAATATATTATGTATATAGCATTAATATTCGCGCAAAGGGAACACATGCTCTTGCATACCTTTGGTTTGTAAGGCTGTGCAGTTTTGATGAAGTGATTGTGCCGCATTTTTTCTTTCTTATCCACCCTGTTCCCAAAAGGTTCGTGGCTTTTACGCAACTGAGGGGTGCTGCCTGAAGCATTTCGCCCGGAGCGCTACATATACATACATACACACATATATAAATATATATTTAAAAGGTTAACAACAAATTAAAAAGATGGTTAAAATATATTGCCAGACTTGCATGAAACAATAGAAACCATTTATCTAAAATTATAAAACCCAGATGGGTTTTAAATAAATTGAGTGATACAGAGGTGAGAAAATATGGTGGTCACAGATTAATTGCAAGTCGGTTATGAATGCACTGTTATGAATGCAGAGTTATGAAAAACCTTGTCGTCTTGCTTGTGTCTACAAAACTGGGATAAAACTCACCTATCTTAAAAGGTTATTTGAATGTTCAGTAGAAATAATATTTCTGTTCCCTCAGAAAATACACGTGAAATGCTCTGGACATAACCTAGGTATCCAGAGGGAGGCCACTTACCATGAACATATCACTTCTGCTCTGAAAGCATTTCATGGGCTGCTAGGTTTCTACTGGGATGCTTGCAATGTCCTGCAGAGCTTTATACACTTGAATATCTGAACGGGGACCTTCTCTTTTCTCCCTGATATACTTGCACATCAACTAAAATCTGATGGAGATGACCAACTGAGGGTGCCACGTTTGCCTAGGATTAAAGACTACAATTGGAGCATCTGCACAAGATCTTAATGGACAGGCAGAGCCATAAGGGAGAAAGGCTGATTCTCAAGAAGCCAACTCTACCTACACATTGGAAAACATGTTTTCATTTTTCACATTAAAAGACATATATATATATCGTATACCCTGTTGCTGCCACTGAGGCTGTTGTAGATCACTCGGAAGCGTTTTCTTGTGTACATGCACCGATAGGTTCCTCCCATTAAGTATTCGACAACAAGCCCAACGTCAATCAGAGTGAGTTTGTACCCTGGAGGAAGATTTCCCTATAGATGAAAAAACAGAAATTTGGAACTGAGATTCAAAACATTTGGGTGAAGGTTTTTTTTTAAAAAAAAATCTGCTAAATAAAATAGCCTCCCTTGATTAACCCCCTTCCCGCCCCAGATAGTTTGGAACTGCAACTCCCACAATCTTGTCAGAAAGAAAATCATACCAAAGTGGGAGAAGAGAAGAGAAGAATATGGTTTATGAGGTTCTAAGGAACTTGAAGGCATTTTATCAACTGAAATCTTTACCTGTTTGACATCTCGAACAAGGTGAAACAATGCTGGATTTGTTGGGCCTTGTTTCTTGATGAAAAAAGGGAGAAAAATGAACTTTTAGATAATTTCAGGCAAGGAACAAATAGGTTAAGAATGACTAAATGCTGCTTGTTCCCTTATTTTGGTTTAACTAGCAAAACAGCTATATTGCAGCAATATTTAAAGCCAAAATGGAATCATTTTAAACCATTATAAAATAATTCTGCCCAAACAAAGCTTTTACTCAGCAGAAGGAAAAATGTGCAAATTGATATGGAGGAGCAAAACTTCTCTTCTGGTTTTGGATTTCATTTCAATAAAGCTGGAGTACAATAAAATCTTCTATTAAAATTATCTTAGCAAATAATGATTGGGCAAATTTGTATTCTCCCTCAAATCCCTCAATACGTTTTGCTTCGTTTTCAGATTAAAATGTAAACCTAGTTCCATGAGAGATTTTAAAAGCAGTATATGGAGATTTTCCAACGGAGGGTCTTCAACTTACGGTGTTGTAAAGTTCTTCCAGTCTGGGAATTGTCAGAAATTTGTGCATGCTTACTCCATTTTCAATAAGAAGTTTCACAAAGGCAACTCTGTCCATCACAAGAGCATCCAACATAGCCTGCTCTAAAGAGCCAACCTGAATGAAATTGTAAGATGATCATGCTTAAACTTGAACGATAGATAGAAATGCAAAACTTGACACAATATTGCCCAAATATGACAGTACTATGCAAACAAGAGTTTATTTTAAATGACAATCCCAACTTTGTAAATACTGATAAATTAAGAATGTGCTTAAGTAAAAAAAATAATGTTTAATTTCCCTTGGGGATTGTGGAATTGAGGTAACTAACTCAGCATTATGTTGGCTCATTCTGGTTATCAGCAATCTTATTTATATTGTCCCTGTTCCAACTGCCAGCTTTACTTACCAGCCACTGTTGTCCATAAACAAAAACATGATTTTTGGCAATGTCAACGCGATCCCAAGCAAGGGTAAGGATAAGCTGGTCAAATGCAGAAGCATTTGTCCCTAAAGACAAATGTAAACAAAAAAAAAAAGGTTTGAAATTTAACCTATTTGCCACAAAAGCCTAATTCCAAAACTATCCAGATCCAATACAACTGTATGTTAAAAACAAAATGATTTTAATATTATGCTTAAGGGAAATAGCACCTGTGGATTGGAGGAAAGGCTTTGAAGCTGAGAAAGATCTACTCAATGTATATGCTCTTATTTTAAAGAGCTACAGAATGAAGTGTGCCGATAGAAGATAATTTCTGTAGCTCAGGTTGAATAATGGGATCTTGGATGCTCTATGAGCTTGGTTGTTTTCTTGTAGATGATACCTCAGTGCACTGATGATGTTACTTAGTTTGGCAATGAAACGTCTGTAGGAAAACGACCAAGCTCAGAGAGCATCAGAGATCCAACAGAATAAAGCATGCCTGAAATTAATAGATCAGTGAATGTTATTTATATCTGACCGCTCCCCGCCCCCATCAATATGCTGGAGGGTACCATAAAAGAAATGGCAAGTTTATGCAGAATTAAGCCAAGTTTTTTCCAGCATTCAGACAATTTTATATAATTGTCCCACCATTACAAAGAGATGATGAAATCAGGATCCGAAAATGTAAATCAAATAAACAGCAAAAAGATTAATGTTTTTTTTTTTTCCTAAAGCGGATTCCCAAAACAGTTTCCAATCAGAAACAAGACATCCAACAAAAGGAATAGATGTTCATTCATGGTCCCACGAAAAAGTAGTGTGGAACCATCTTAACTTCTAAGATAAACAATATCACTTTCAAATAGAAATGTACCTTTTAATAGAGCTGTAAGGATTGCAACATCAATATCCTGATGTTCATCAGACCCAATGTGGAACACTGTAATCTGTTTTGAAAATTAGATGAAGAAAGAAAGTTTTTAGATGTGCCCACTGCCTCTCATGTACACAGATTACATCATGTTAAATTGAAATGGGAGTTCTAACTTCAGTAATATTCACAAAGGAGACAAATGATCTGGATTTATTAGAATACATTTTAATTCTTCCCAGAGTGAAATATTTATTAAGCAAATCCTTGTAGCGGTGTAGAGACTTACTTACCAGCTCCCTTTTCTTCATGCATTCCAGCAGTGTCTGGAATAAATGAACCGCTTCACTCTGACCAAAATTAAATGTCTTTTTGATTGTTGAAATGATTTCAGGTTCAGCTCCATCAGGGATGCTTCTGAGGTTAAATAAAGAAATCAGAATTTCAGCATAATTATCATATGCAAATATAAGAGACGGTTTTAAAGTTCAGAGCTAGAGGAGGAGAAAATTGGGACCGTTACAATAAATTGTTCTAATAAATTGTTACAATAAATCGTTCTAATAAATTGTTTATCAGGCAACTGCACTTAGGTTAAAAACTCAGCTGCAGAAAAATTGCTCTCATCCTAGGGAAGTGCTACATAGCTCAGTGGTTGAGCATACCTAGTAGTTTTGCACAAAGAAAGTCAGACTGTTCTTGAACACATCTCAGATAGCAAGGTTGAAACAGATTATAATCCACAAATGTGGATGACATCTAGAACACCAGAATAACTAGACACAAGGACAGTTTTTTCCCCCGAATGCCATCACTCTCTAAACAACTAATTCCCACAACACTGTCAAACTGTATTACTATTCTTCTCATCCTTCCTATTACCTATCTCGTCCCACTTATGACTACAACCTTGTTGCTTGTATCTTTACAATTTATATTGTTTTATTTAGTTTCCTAGTATGATTTTGATTGCTTCTTTCGTGTCGCTATGACTATCACTAAGTGTTGTATCTTATGATTCTTGATGAATATATATATTTTTATGTACACTGAGAATATATGCATCGAAGACTGATTCCTTGGGTGTCCAGTCAGACTTGGCCAATAAAGAAGAAAGAGAGAGGGGGGAGGGAGAGAGAGAGAGAGAGAGAGAGAGAGAGAGAGAGAGAGAGAGAGAGAGAGAGAGAGAGAGAGAGAAGATTGAGCAAGAGGGATGAACAACCCAACTTGATGGAGATCAGCTCCACTGTAGGAGGCCAATGTTTAAAAAGGGCTTACCCGCCCTCTTCTGTTTGCTTATAAACATAAGCCAAGATATCTGCAGCTCTGCCAGTCCCCTCGCAGACCACAACTGGCACAGGAGGGCTTTCCTGAAGATACTCCAGAACAGTAAGAACAACATTGGGGCCACCTTCAAAGATAAGTGCCACCACAGGAACACCTTGGCCAATTCCTAGGTAAAGAGGTTTTAAATAAAGTATAGAAATGCTTTATTCAGTCGAAAGAGGTTTCTTTTTCTTTTCAATTAAATTTTAAAGCCCCAACTTTACAATATAAAAAAACTGAATGTGCATCCTCTACACGTTAAGCAGGTTTCGTGGTTTTGTGAAATTGACTTCGCAGTTTCTATTGGTTGGCAAAATTAATGTTACTGCTATTAATCAAGGAGCGATGACTATTATTACTTAATTGTATTGAACATTCTTCCTGAATAATCAATATGCATCTGGGAGAAAGACTAAACTATGGAGGATGTAACAATCTTGCAGAAGTATTTATGCACACACATATATATTGAGATATTTCAAAGAATGTTATGAATAGGCAAAGACAAAGAACAATGAACAGGGTTTAAAAAGTAGAATGAATATGAATAATGATGACATTTACAAAAGCCATAGAGGTTACAATTTTCCAGTTCAGTTGACTATGGATATCATTATATCATTTTAAAAGCCTGAAGATCACTAAAACTGGCAGAAATTAAATAAGCCCAGCTGCTGCTTACACCTGCATGAAAGAACATGTGGGAAACCTGGGCTGACTTCCTTAAAACAATCAGGCAGAAAGGTGAAATACACTTGCAATCCATCTTATACTCAAACTCTCTTTCCTGTAGTGTGTAATTGGGTAAAACGGTGCACCAGAGAGCAAAACCTTTCAAATCAAGGTAACTCAGATGGACTAAGTGGTAGGCTGTCCCAAAGGTGCTTTTTCAAGAGGCAACTGGACTTTCTTGCCTTTCTTTGAAGACGTTTTGCTTCTCATCCAAGAATGAGCACAAATGAGTGGGGAACCTTCTTGGAACCGCTGAAAGGATGGTGTTGCAGACTGGAGGTAGAGGATGTCGCATCCTTCCCCCTCTGTTGAGGGAGGGCTGTTCATCTGTCTCCAATCTACAACGCAGTCCTTTCAGCTGCTCCAAGAAGGCTCCAGACCCATTTGCACTACTCAGGTGACCCAGAGGACACAGATAAACCTCCAAGTGGCCTCAGCGACTCTCTAAAACAGTGGTCACCAACCAGTGGGCCGGGGACCACTGGTGATCCGTGAGAAAATTTTGATGGTCCGAAGAACAATGTCCCCCACAAAGCAATTAATTCAGGCTGTGCAGGAACACAAGGCTACACCACCCACATGGCCCGCAGGAACACAAGGCTTGCGTTGCTTGCATTGCGAACAACACAAGGTAGTGAAGGGAGGAGGAAAAGGGTGGAGGGGGGAAATTTGCCCCACGTGCCTCACCTGGCTACAGGGCTGCTTCTTTCTGCTTCTGCTTTTGGCTGCACGCAAGGAAAGCAGCAAAAGTCTTTCTTTCTCTCCCCCAAACTCCGCCAGAAATGAGTCTTTGGGACCCTGCAAGGCCTCCTGGGCCAAGAGGCTGTGCCGGCAAAGACTTGTTTCTGGCGGAGTTTGGAGGAGAGAAAGAAAGACTTCTGCTGCTTCTGCTGCTTTCCTTACATGAAGCCAAAAGTCTCTCCCCACCCCCACCCCCCAGAGAACGGAGCTGGAGACCGAATCCTGCGATCCCAAATAAAGAATGATTGATCGGTAGGAAAATGGGGTGGGGAATTCTCCTGCAAACTTTTGGGAGGATTTTCCCAGGGTCTCTGATCCATGGGATTTAAAATTATGAGTTTGGTGGTTCCTGAGGTCCAACAGGTTGGTGAGCCCTGCTCTAAAAGGATGCAAATGACCAGCTGTCTGCAAGGAATGTAAATCCTTCCATTTCACACCATCCAGTCAGAGCTGAAGAAGTTTCTTGGATGAGAAGCAAAACATCTTCAAATAAAAACCAGAAAGTCCAGTTGCCTCTTGAAAAAGCATCTTTGGAACAACCATGACCTGGATGACTGAGAATCTCTATAGACACTAACTTGCAGAATGTGTCCAAAATCCTGGACTCATCACTCCCATGGAAATGAAACATAGACTATATTTAACATTTGTCTTTCATTGCACAAACAAGTCAAAAGTTAATCAGCACACGTTTTAAATATAGGTAATCATGCACAAGGTCTGAAGTGTGGTTTTACCACAGTCAGCTAAGTCAGCATAAATGCAACTTAAACACTGTAAACATACAATCATTTTTCACAAAAAAAATTATGGTTACAAAACATTGTGCTATCAAAGTTTTGTCACAATCTATTTGAAAAACTGAAATAAGTGTAACGCACATTTTACCAATAAATATACATGAACTAAAACATTTTTTTAAAAAAAATCAGCCTCCTACCAATTAAACAAAATCTTTACCACTTTATCACTCATTGTCTAATCTGAAAGTCATGTCATTTCACGTACATTAAAATAGTCAATTCTATCATTATACTCGTATATCACACGTACTTGCATGAATTCGTTGCTGACTGATTGTTTTTTCCAGTTCTCTCCGCAATTTCACTTCTGCTCCATATTTTCCAACTGTGCCATCATCCACCAATATGAAATGGGAATGAAGATTATTCAGGACATTTAATTTGCTTAAAGGATTTAGCAGAGTTTGATATGGAGCAACAACCTAAGCATAAAACAACATTAATATGTTCCTGTGTAATAAATCAAGGTTACTCTTTCACAAAAAACAAGTCTACAATTGCCAATAATCACAACAATCAATTAGTTACGGATCAATCCTTTGTTCCTTTAGAAAAGAAAGTGGTAATACAAGATGAACTTGCATGTGATTTTATTCAAAAGTGGAATAGTATTCCAGTTTTATATCTGAAGGAGGTGGTGAGAGACAGAGGGACATGGAGAAGGCGGATCCATAGAGTGGCCAAGGGTCAGAAGTGATTGAATGGCTGATGATGATGAAATACTATTACAATTAAACCTCAAAGCATTTTTTTTTACATTTTAAAATATTTATTCCAAAATCAAGGCTTTCAATGTGTCCAAAATAGTGTTTGTTTGAATATCTTGCTTTACTGTGATATATTGTACTAGTTTGTCAACTAACACTAAGTGTAAACTCTCTGTAAGAAAAACCCACCTTTCAACCCCATTCACTTTACAATTACATTTTATGACCTTAAGAATTCAGATCATAATCTGAACAAGAAAATGGCTCGATTATGCGCTCGGCCTTGGGGTCCCAAATGTGTTAAGGACACCATTTCCTGCTTATATTAACATCTATGGATTATAACTTTTCTCAGCTATATTTACTTTTTTTGCATTGCATTTTTAGTTGGTTTTTATTGATTATATGTTTTATGACCCAGAGTCACTTGTTTGAAAATGGCAGCTATGTCAATTAAACGAACAAATGAATAAATAAATAAAATAAGTAGCTTTCATTCCCACCCAGTTAAGAGCACATATAATAACTTTATGAACTTACATCTTTCCCAACAAGATCATTTCTGTTTTCAATCACTCCCCAAGGAGCTATTCCAATAGTGCAAATCTTTCGAGATGATCGGGAGGCATGCTCCTTCAGGGCATCGCCAACGTGCTTTGCAACTCCTGCACAAGAACAAAAGTGTATGTGTGACGATGATCAATCTCTACAAAACTCAGTATGTTGGTTCATGTATCACAACCAATTAAATACCAAATAAAAACCAAATGAAAAACAAGAGGTTACCACCACCAGATACATTTCACTGTCATCCTATTATTAGCACTTAGCAATAGCACTTAGGCGTATATACCGCTTCACAGTGCTTTACCTTCCTCTCTGAGTGGTTCACAGAGTCGGCCTATTGTCCCCAACAATCTGGGTCCTCATTTTACTGACCCTGGAAAGATGGAAGGCTGAGTCAACCTGGAGCCAGCCAGGATCAAACTCCTCGAGTGAGCAGTGAGTTAGCCCTGCAGTGCTGCATCCTAACCACTGCGCCACCATGGCTCTTATTGTTAGCCCCTTTCATCCTTTCCCATATTCTAGTTCATTAGTTTCACCCCCTTCTGATCATGAGAATGTATACACAGGTAGTCCTCGACTTGCAAATTTTCATTTAGTGACCAAGCTTATAATGGCACTGAAAAAAGTGACTTATGAATGTTTTCCACACTTACGATCATTGCAGCATTTCCATGGCCAGGTGATCAAAATTCAGACACTTTGGCAACTGACTCAGACTTACGACGGTTGCAGTGTCCAGGGGTCATGCGATCCCCTTTTGCGACCTTCTGACTGGTGAAGTCAATGGGGGAGTCTGATTCACTTAATAACCATGTTACTAATCTAACAACTGCAGTGATTCATTTAACAACTGTGGCAAGAAAGGTCGTGAAAAACTCTCTTAACAACTGTCTCATTTAGCAGCAGAAATTTTGGGCTCAAGTGTGGTCGTAAGTCAAGAACTACCTATGCTATTTATCAAGCTTGGTGTCATCCCAGGATTCCATATTCACGGACCTTTAAAACAAGTTCTGAGTCATTATGACATCCAAGCAATAACATGACTCAGGACCAATTGTCTTGTACATATACATCCAAAGTGTGTTTCAAGTGAAGGCATCACCTGTGTTCACCCCTCCAGTTATAATCCAGGCTCCTGTTGTTACTGCAGCTTTAATGAGACCTTTACCAAGCAACTGTTTGATCCGTGGGTGAAGCTCAAATTTTTGCATCCCTCCATGTACAGAAACAACAAGTTTTGGCAGTTCCAGCTGCCATTCTTTAAGCATAAGTTGTAGGATCGCTTCAGGTCTGGTGTCATATGACAATCGTACATACTATCAACAAAAAAAGGGAAAATGTTAATAACCTTTAACAATGAAACAAGCAAAATATAAAATAATTCATAGTGACACACAAATATTACAGCTGAAAGGTTTATTCAAAATTCCTAATGAATGTTTTAAGAGAGTAAACCTGCCTCTGTATTTGGATTCATAAATTGATTTGTTCAATTTTGGTTTAGCAGTGTTCTACACTACAGCCAATCTAATTTCTATCACTTGGTTCATAATTTAATAATGCAAGTCTAGCCATAAAGGCTTAGTTAACAAACCATGGTTAAAATAAAATATAGCTCAGCACCACACACAAATGCCTTTAAAACTTAAAATAGAAGTATAACCTAAATTGTTCTTCAAAATATCATTTTAAGAATACCAATTTTAACAGAATTGTTCTGATTTCCACAATATATTTGGTGTGAATTCAAGTATATGTAATGACTTCTGAACAGCTGGAATTCTTGTATCTGAGGAAGCATCACTTTCTGTGTATTGTAGGCGCAATATAGAAAACAGAGGAAGAAGGAAGCGTTTTCTTGGGGGGTGGCACACTGTTATCAAAAACTTCAGTTTATAGATACTAGAAGTTTTCTTTTATCACAAAAATACATTGCAAAACAAGCTTGGTGTGGGATTGTTTCTACATTAATTGTTTTGAATACATTTAAAATTCAAGAAGTTCAACTTAGTGACTAAGAAATAAATGTCCAATGACTAATTCAAATGTGTGTGGGTACATGTCCTAGTACTTCCTACTAGGAATTCGAAGAATAAACAAATGGAAAAAGGGTGAAGTGCTTTAATTATGCCTCCATTTCATTGCATTATTGGAATAAAAAAAACAAAGAGAGAGGCTGAATGAATAAATTTAACATCCATATTAATGGATAAATTAATAGCCATTGATCTGGATATAAAATCCAGTTCAAAAAGTGAAGTATAAATCATTGTTAGCACCATCCATGGAAGCTTACCACAAAAAGAGTTTAGATAATAAATTCCATTATAGGGCAATTCAACCTTATGAAAACTTGACTCAACTCCCACCTATTTCCACCCTATCACTTCTGTGTTTAAAGACCAATATTGCTATTTTAATCTTCACTTTGGATATTGCAGATGTTGTTTGAAGATGATTCCAGAAGCGCTCATCAACTCCACCAGTAGAAGACAAATGGAACTGTGGGTACAAACCTTCGCTCGGTAGGAATGAGAGCCTCCTTGAAAATTAATGACACCGTAAGCATCTGTTGAACTCTGCTCTGTATGTTTTTCTACAGACCATTCCTCAAGTTCCTGGTTAAAATTTTCACCCAGCTTCACATCGGAGTATTTCATGGCAAGGCTTGCGGTGAAGCAGGCATGTTGCCGTACCAAGCGACCGCAACAGCACCTAAGGACAAAATCCTCACTTCAGGAAATTGGACAGGCACATTGCGATATTATGAGCTGCTATATACACGTTCACTGTATTTCACAGTCTCTACCTGTTAACTTCCACCAAATTTAAACCACATACTGTCTCTGAAAAACTACAGTTCCATGTTTTTCAAGAACTTGGGAAGAAGCTCCAAACTGCAGTATAAAGATTCACAATGATATTAGGAAGATAGATAATATCTAAGGGTTTGAATGCCATGATAACAGGGATAATTATGTTTACTGCTCACTTTAATACATGTCTATATTCCATATGCTCTTCATGTAAGCACCTTTTTTCATTTAACCTTTTCTGCATTTCGACTTATTTCTGCTTCCAGAGACTTTTGAAACAGATTATAGTGCTTACAGGTAACTTATTTGTATTATTAAACCCCAGTTTTTAAAAATATTTCATTTAATGTAAAACTACTTACCTGACAAGTTGCTGACAAATCTGACATCCTGGAAGGCATCTAAGATTACAAAATTAAAAAGATAGTCTAAAAACGGTCACGGTTTCAAAAAACTACATCAATAGAACAAAAATATCATATGACTTTTCTTATTTAAAAAAAGCTTATTTTTTTTGTGCACAGGTTCACTACAAGACAACAGGAAAAAGAGTAACATAGCAAAGATGATATAAGCAAAACAAAAGCCGCTAATGTCTCCAGCTACGGGATACATCCAATAAAGCATAAATTAAGGGTGAAATCGTAATTCCTTCTTCTAACTTAGATCCCAACTTCAAGGGGGAAAAAAACCCCTCTTCTTACATTCCTATTCACTTCCAGTTCTTAAAGCACTCCCATTTCATACTACAGAGTTTCCCCTTCAAATTTATAAATCCAAATTGCTTCTGCAGAAATTAATACACCTCTCTCAGATATCTCGTGAGAATGCTTAAACCTTAATTTTGGGGAGGATACCAAAGGCTGCAATAATTAATGTATCTCTTTTCATTTACCTGTGAGGATCCTTTGAACTTGGTATTATGTAGACACATTCCCGTTTGGTGAAAGTATTTTCTATCCAAGATTTCTGGGACTGTAAAATAAAGTATTTAAAAAATCATACCAAGGCAATAGTGGATTTTCAGAGAGTTATTTTTCATGACATCAATTGGCCATATTTCTGAGTAACTTAATATCTATGTCTCTCTCCCGTCAGTGTTCAAGCATACATAATTCAGGCTATTAGATAGATCTACCGTTTATTCCTTCTTAACTTGAAATAGATGAATCTTGCCAAATCAGTAATTGTGTAAAATATCTGATTAAACTTAATGTAAAACTTGAGTATTGATTAACTGATTAATTTGTTACAAAGCGACACAAACGGAAGTTTTTAAAAAATCAAGTTTAAGGAGGTTTTGATTTGTTGTTCTCCTATAATGTTAAATTTGCAACCAATATTTTGAAACTTGGTTTAATAAGAATATTTAATTCTTATCAGAGATTAATTCAAAATCCTTGCCACCCGGGTATTATGGAAAACACAATTGTAATTTTCCAATAAATGCACTTTGTAAACATCCTTGAAATTATTCTATCTGAATTCCATTGGACTTTTCAAATTAAACTTTTCACAGTATGCTTATTAAGCCAAGAGAAGCACAAGACACCTATTTGGTAAATGGCTCACAATTTAGCGTACACATTACTATTTTACTATTAACACAGTTATACTGAACAGAGAAGAAAATACGCTCTGCTTTTGTACAAAAATGCCTGTTACTTTATCTTTTTATCTCTGTAAGACATTTAGTCACCTCTTGTCAACAGTTCATTTGTTGATAACTAGCTGAAAAAGGCTGAAATCTCACAAACAACCCATTACATCAAACAAAAATAGGATGTTTAAGGCAAGAGCCCAATTGCTGGCCTGACTCCCTAGAACTGATTAACTAAAAATTAAATGTTTTACCCCAAGCATTCAAGTGAAAACATACCAACAAGTTTACATTTACTTAGCTAACGTATTTCCTTAAGTGGGGAGGGAGACAAAAGTTGGTGATAGGCAAATCAGTCTTCACCAACATTCCCCAGCATGCTATTAAAACCTCGCACCTCTAAACATAAGAACCATGTTTAAAACCTATAAAACTCAGTTATTATAATTATTACTCTAGATATCTTAGGTATCTGTATAATATTACAAGGAGACAGGTTAAATCACAAAAATATATTTTTTAAAAATACCTGATCAAGATACAAGGTCCACCTTATTTTTTCTTTGCAGAAATCCATAGTCAACAACTACTAAGAGTCTCCTTTGAGGATCAATCTTATACCACGAAAGTTTACTCTAATTTAAGGTTTTAGAGATGACAGGTTATAACAACATACCGCTGCCTAAAATGCAGGATGAGATCAGACCTTAAAATAATTTAACATTACATTATAGGGACCATTCTATTATTGCATTTAAATGGAGCAAATATTTTGAGGGGTTTTCTTTTTAAGAAGTACTCTATTATTTAACTATAACTCTAGAAATTAAAGTCTGTGGTATTACGAGAATGATTTGGTCAGAAAGTATCAAAAAATTAACATGAACGTTCTGCCATACTTCATTAAAGTTGTGTTTTGATGACTGATGAAGTTTTGTTATACAAACACATCTTTAAATTCACTAATATTTAATCTTTGGTTAATTGATATAACTGAGCACTGGTTGGCTTCCAAGAACTGCAACTAAAAAAAATTCAACGAATCTATTTGAACCCATAAATACTGTAAGGCACCAAGTAATAAACTCTGAAATATAACAGATGTTGATCTAGAGTTCTGAGATTAGACTATAGTACATGTTTATCATCCAACTATGTTCTGTAACAATTAGTTCTATTTATATGGAACAAAAAGCAGAAATTCCCATTTATACATTTAGGAAGATCATGGCTGTGCATTGTTCACAATGATTCACAAAATTCAGAAACTGTATTATCTATCTATCTATCTATCTATCTATCTATCTATCTGGATTGAGCCTATTCAAAAGACAAATCCTTCACGTGGCAATTTGTTCAGTTATATTAATTACTGCAGCATTTGATGCTATGTGAATTGCTTTATGAATAAGTAAACATATTGTTTTCTTGTATTGGGCAGTTATTCAAACTTACATTAAGGGTAATGGAGTATGTAATAGGAAGCACTATTACAAGCACTACAAGATATTTATGACAAGCTGCCTCCATTCATCACTGCATCACTTTATTTATCTAGAAAAGCAGAGGTCAGATCAGTAACAGAGACAAACTAAAACAAAGAGGCAATGTTCGAATCAGGAGAAAAAACAAAAAGGCAACATTGGATAAAATATTCCCTCTGTCTGAATTAAATGGAGTTGTAGATATATTTACTCAGAAATGTCAGAGTTTCTTAGAACTTATCCTCAAAAAAGCATGCACTGTCAACAGGAACTTACAAATCAAGTGGGGATGTTTGTGTCTCTAACTTATTAATGAACGTGTTGCATTACAGACAGAAAAAAGTCATAGATAACAAACAAATCACAATGCAATCTAAAATCCTTTTCTCACTACTGAAGTAAAGCTGGAACAACTGAGATGCTTCTAACTTCAAAGGTCCCTGCAAAAACCATATTCCCACATTCTACATACCCTTGTTTTCTTTTCCAAAGAAAAAGAGTGAATTCACTGGGAGATACTGCATAGACATAAATGCAGACTTCTATTCTGTAGCACATACTCCTCAAAGACAATTAAGATTTAAGCACGCTTACAATAACACATACAATATTCTTCTGATTCCACATCAATTTTTCTTCTCAATTTGAAGGAGGAAACCCCTTATATGTGAAAATGTCCCTTGGAGAAATGTGTAATACTCTTGCAATTTGCAAAAAGTCTTTTCATTCTATGAAGCTTTTTGATGTAATTGTCATTGTGAGCATTCATCTGGGTATGAATATTAATAATAATTTTAATAAATAAGCAAATATTGCTTAGTGCTGCTTGTTTCAATAACTGTTTTTTTCCTTTTTGTTGTACACCAGAGCTATATGCCTGGGAGAGTCTTCAAATATTGTAAATAAAAAAAATATTTTTCAATAATAGAATCCCAGTCTGTTAAAAACTTGTTTACACACCTATGACATCCACACAAATTGTTTTGGACAAAATTACTTTTGTTCAAACTTTAGGCAGCGGAAAAAAAGCATACATTTTAATTGCAAAAATTCTTCAATGTTAAGTGAGATAACCTGACATTAATTTTTCAGTTAAGAAAACATATATGACAAGTAGTGCATTTTGTTGCAATGATTTATGTAAAAGCACACCACAGAAGTTACCTTGAAAAAAGATTGCCCCAACTCAGATGGTAAACAAGGACACATTTCCAAAACCAAGAACTTCCCCAATTTGCAAAAGGCCCAACTGAACAGAAACACTTGATTAGCCAAACACATGAGGATCATGGGGCAGAGCTGTGACCCATAGCTAGTTGGTTGTTAACACCTCATTTTACAAAAGGCTGCCAGAGCAATAGCTGCAAGGCAAACATTCCAGACTTCATTTTCCCATCATCCTGAATCTCATTTACACACTGAGCACCTGGACTTTGCTGAACACAGTGAGTTCACACATATAAAGTAGCTGGTTAGCAGCATTTGTTCCTTGCTCAATAGTCCAAACAGAACAATTTAACAGATTACACATCGTTTTAAAAGAATGTACACTTGGTATTTTGCAAGGAATTTCTTCCCACGGATACCTGTGTAATGTCCATGGAGTTGCATTTTATCCAGAAATGTCCTAGAACTATGCATTCTCTAAATTACAGATATTTTCCTTATAATAAATAACTCTTATTGCAAAAAGACCCTTTCTCAGGAATACTCAAATGGTATACATTAGCAATGCAAAATTTTCCATATTTTTGTCCTTCAAGTGGTCTCATCCACAACCAACGCTAGCGTAACTTAGTTTGCGAAAAGTCTAAATACTCATGGAAGTCTCGCTTTTTGCAATGGGCTAACCACCAGGCATGGTAGTCTGTAATACCCATTGTAACCTCACCTAGCAATGGTATTCAATTTTAAAAGTTGTTGTGATCTTTATAGTCTCAAAAGTGTTTTTCCAAGAGGCAACTGAACTTTCTGAAACCAGAAAGTCCAGTTGCCTCTTGAAAAAGCACCTTTGGGATAACCGTGACCTGGATGACAGAGAATCTCCATAGACACCTGTCATCTTTATACTTTTTATGCGTGTTATGTTACACCAACCATATCTCACTGGCTTAAAGTTTGAATATTAATATACCGAACGGAATCATCTAACTTTGTTGCACATTTTATCCTAAATGATATAAGATTTTGTGGACTCATCCAGAATAGCGGGGGTGGGGTGGGGGGTTGCTACAAGGAAATATGCAGGAAGAGGAGGAAGTTACCGAGAGTCAGATGTTATATCCTTCGTGCTTTAGAAAAGGTTTCCAGGCTGAAATGTCCTGACCCCAAAATATCCTCTTCCAATCTTATCAGAACGCTCACATGTTGGAACAGCCATGTCAGGAGCCATCTGGTATAGAAACAGACCCTGCTAATTGCACAATGGACATCAGTGTGGCCCAGTTCCAGTTCAGATCAATTTTGGTAAGGTAGGAAGATTTCCCATGTGCAAAATCTGACTTTTCTGTGATCCCTCTTAATTAGGAAAACCTTTTTAAGGTGCTACCTCAAGGAACACTGCATGTAAAAAGTATCCTCAGTTGCTTATGAATTTAGAAATAATCTACTAAGAAAGCCTGGTTTTATTTTTTTTAAATACCCTAACATCTCAAACTTTTTTAAAAAATAGAGATTCCAAAATCAGTTGTATTTTTAAAAATATACATATTCCAAATTGGTTGTATTTTGAAAACAATTTTGTTTCGTTTGGGGCCACAGAAAACAACAAAAAGATAAACATCAAGTTATGTATTTCCTACGGTTGTTTAAACATCTAGGCTCCAACCAACCCCAACAGACGCCTCACTCCCTTGCTGTCATTGCAAATGTAAGGTTACCTCTTTCTATAA